AAATTCAACCTTCCTCCCAAGACATCTACTTTAAATCCCTGGGATCTGGGAAGGTGACCTTTTTGGAAAAGGTTTTTTTTTTTTTTTTATTTAGTAAATATAAATTTCCAAATACAGTTTATGGATTACAATGGCTCCCCCCCCCATAACTTCCCTCCCACTCACATCCCTCCCATCTCCCGCTCTCTCTCCCATTTCACTCACATCAAGATTCACTTTCAATTATCTTTATATACAGAAGATCGATTTAGTATATATTACGTAAAGATTTCATCAGTTTGCACTCACACAGAAACACAAAGTGTAAAATACTGTTTCAGTACTAGTTATAGCATTACTTCACACTGGACAACACATTAAGGACAGATCTCACATGAGAAGTAAGTACACAGTGACTCCTGTTGTTGACTTAACGATTTGACACTCTTGTTTATGGTGTCAGTAATCTCCCTAGGCTCTAGTCATGAGTTGCCAAAGCTATGGAAGCCTTTTGAGTTCTCCGACTTCGATCTTATTCTGACAGGGTCATAGTCAAAGTGGAAGTTCTCTCCTCCCTTCAAAGAAAGGTACCTCCTTCTTTGATGGCCTTGTTCTTTCCACTGGGATCTCACTCACGGAGATCTTTCATTTAGGTTTTTTTTTTTTCCAGAGTGTCTTGGCTTTCCATGCCTAAAATACTCTCATGGGCTCTTCAGCCAGATCCGCATGCCTTAAGGGCTGATTCTGAGGCCAGAGTGCTGTTTAGGACATCTGCCATTCTATGAGTCTGCTGTGCATCCTGCTTCCCATGATGGATTGTTCTCTCCCTTTTTGATTCTATCAGTTAGTATTAGCAGACACTAGTCTTGTTTGTGTGATCCCTTTGACTCTTAGACCTATCAGTGTGATCAATTGTGAACTGAAATTGAATACTTGGACTAGTGAGATGGCATTGGTACATGCCACCTTGATAAGATTGTATTGGAATCCCCTGGCACGTTTCTAACTCCACCATTTAGGGCAAGTCCAATTGAGCATGTCCCAAATTGTACATCTCCTCCCTCTCTTATTCCCACTCTTATATTTAACAGGGATCACTTTTCAGTTAAAATTTAAACACCTAAGAATAATTGTGTGTTAATTACAGAGTTCAACCAATAGTACTAGAACAAAAAAAAAATACTAAAATGGATAAAGTATTATAGGAAAAGGGTTCTTTGAAATAAAGTTAAAGAGCTTGAAATGAGATCATTCTGGATTATCTGGTTGGACTCTAAGTCCCATGACAAGTGTCCCTCTAAGAGAGAAGCAGATGGGGCTGGCGCTGTGGCGTAGTGGGTGAAGCCGCCTCCTGCAGTGCTGATATCCCATATGGACACCAGTTTGAGTCCCGGCTACTCCACTTCCAAAGAGAGGTGGAGAAAGAGTCTCCACAAGAATCTCAAAAGATCTGGGGCCCTGTGGCTCCTGGATCCAGACGTCTTGACCCCCAGAACTGGGAGAGAAAACATTTCTATTGTCAAGTGGCCCCGTTTACAGGAACTTGTTTTTCGGAAGCCACAGAGAGTTAATACAGGAGAAAGGGGCTGGCACCGTGGCTCACTTGGCTAATCCTCCACCTGCGGCACCGGCACACCGGGGTCTAGTCCTGGTCAGGGCGCCGTATTCTTTCCCGGTTGCTCCTCTTCCAGGCCAGCTCTCTGCTGAGGCCAGGGAGTGCAGTGGAGGATGGCCCAGGTGCTTGGGCCCTGCACCCCATGGGAGACCAGGAGGAAGCTCTTGGATCCTGGCTTCGGATCGGCACAGCTCCAGTTGTAGCAGCCATTTGGGGGGTGAACCTATGGATGGAAGATCTCTCTGCCTCTCTCTCACTGTCTATAACTCTACCTGTCAAATAAATAAAAATTTTAAAAAATTACAGGAGAGATTAACAACGGTCCACAATTATTAGTTGATGTATTTATTCAGTGGATGTCGCCCTCCCCTCCCCTCACTAACAGGAGCTCCCAGAGGGCAAGGATTCCTGGGTGCTGTTTCGTTGCTGTGCCTGCAAGGTGCATAGTTCCCAGCGTGTAAATACCGTTAAACACGGTGATAGTGAAGAGCGTGATCTGAGACGTTTGAGTAGATGAGACGTAGAAGATGAACTGAAGAGGAGATGTGTATTCAGGATGGAGGGACAGAGCTTGACACAGAGCCCTGAGCAGGGATGGGCTCCATGGCTCTGCCTGCTTGGGAGAAGACAGGACGGACACGGTGGGACAGACAAGGGAGGTTGAGTTTATGCAGCAGGCAGGGGATGACAGCAGACTGAGCCTCTAGGGATGCTATCAACAATTTCATCCATGTTCCTTTACCTGTCCCAGGTGCTATTCTTGAGGTGCATAAGCTGGGTGCTTTTTTTTTTCTCCGTCTTACTGACTTTGATTATCACTGTTCCATAGAATTCGTTTTTTATTTAATGCCAGCCTAACTCCAAGGAGGAAATCTGTGTTCCAGGCTTTTCGACCTAACGTTTACTCTACTTTCTCAACATTTTCATGCCAGCCACGATTCCCTGGCACATTCCCTCAGCTGTCCTAAATACCAGCCCCTCCTTCAGTTTTTTCCACAATTAATAAATGCTCTTTTCCCCACTTCCCTTTATCCGATGCTGAGTCGGTCGTTTTGCCTCTGTCAGTTCTTTCAGGCACAGAACATATGGCTTTGCCATGGTTGATTATAACTGACTAGCAATATTTATATGACATTTCATCTCCAGGGCTTTTCACATTTCTTTAAGACCTCTTTTGTGGGCATCTTTTTTTATTTTCCTTTTGCACGCACTGTATGCAAGTATCAATTTATTTTTCACTTCAAACATCTTCCGTATCATCTTTTTGTCTCTTAAACATATCTTAGTAGTTATTTTGAATTTCAAGCCATCTTCCTTGTGTCTTAGTTTTTGCATTTTATCAATTTCTCATAAGAACTTCCTCGTAGGAGCTAGGTTCTCTTGCCCTGCCTACTCAGGAGATCTTGCAGAACCAAAAAAGGAGGAGCGGTAATAAACATTGTCTCCTGACAGTCTATGTTTATGACCACAGTATAACTCAAGGCGCATTTTCCAGCCTAACTTTAGCCCTTCATGGTTTTTTTCCCCAAGGCTTTCACTCTCAGGAGAGAACGAAGTGGCAAATGACATTCGGACCAAATCCTTTGGTAGAACTGACGATGCGTGAGAATAATTCAATAATTTGAGAATATTTCAGGTCGAACATCTCAGAAAACTTAGGCAGTTTTATCTATTACCTTTGTTTAAAAAAAAAAAAAACAAAACACAAAATCTTCAAAGAAAGGTTTTCATAACTTTCCAGGCATGGTCATGGTCAATAAGTGTTGAAACAGATAGAAGTACAGTCATAATAACTCTCAAAAAAAAACAGCCAGCCCCTTGGCCCTACATTGGGTGTTTCATTCTGAGAGCACGTTTGAATGTTAGAAAACTGCCCACCTTTGGCTAACAACCCCTAAAATAAAGGTAGCAGGATAGTTTCCAGCTTATCCATCGTTCTAGTTAACTTCTGGTTTTGAAGGTTTCTTCAAATGTGAAAGCATTCAGAGGCACAAAACCTGCTCAAAGCCCAGGTTTCTGCTTTGTTATCACAGAGAACAAACTGAAAACAAGCATTTCTCAGGATTGCTATGATCAAAGCAACTGAATGACCGGTCTGAGAGCCCGACTAAGCACTTTGCCACACAGGGGATTGTATAATTTCAAAATGTAAGAATATACAGGAAAACTGTCTATGCAGCTCTGTAAAGAACATACCTGTCTAGAATATAAGACTGGGCCCAAATTATAACCCTGCCACTAAGCAGCCATTCATCAACTTCCTTGTTGTGAGAAACAAAGGGACGCCATACCCACTTTCCTCTTTGAACTTGGACGGCACCAGCTAAATGCCCTCCTAGGGCAATAGGGAATGTTGACAGCCAAGATCTCCTATGACATTATGAGGAAGAAGGTTGTATGGCCTTTGTGCCACTGTGTCAAAGTAAGGAATTCCCATAATCACCAGGGAATAAGCCTGGTTCCCCAACACCATCACATGCCACCTTCTCCTCCCACCCCGGGGAAAATCCAGGATTGGTTTTCCTTCCACAGCAATAAATAAAACTGCTCTCTAGAATGATGGGAGGAGTGTTTGGCCTAGTGGTTAAGAGGCTGTTGGGGAGCAGGCGCTGTGACGCAGTCGGTTAATCCTCCGCCTATGGTGCCAGTTCTAGTCCTGGCTGCTCCTCTTCCAGTCCGGCTCTCTGCTATGGCCTGGGAAAGCAGTAGATGATGGCCCAAGTGCTTGCGCCCCTGCACCCACATGGGAGACCTGGAAGATGCTCCTGGCTCCTGGCTTCGGATCAGCCCAGCTCTGGCCATTGCGGGCATTTGGGGAGTGAGCCAGCAGGTGGAAGACCTTTCTGTCTCTCCCTCTCACTGTCTGTAACTCTACTTCTCAAATAAATAGATAAAATCTTAAAAAAAAAAAAAAAAAGGCTGTTGGGATACCCGCATCCCACGTCAGAATGTCTGGATTCGATACCCTGCCTTAGCCCCTGACTTCGGCTAATGCAGACCCTGAGAGCCACACGTGATGGCTCAAGTAGTCGGGTTGCTGACACCCATGTGGGAGATCTGGATTGCATTTCCACGTCCTGGCTTTGCCCCTTTCAATCTTGGTTGTTGCAAGCATTTGTGGAGCGACCCAGTAATGAGAGTGCTATCTCTCACTTGCTCACTTCCTCTCTCTCTCTCTCTCACACACACACACACATATAATTAACCAAAAGCTAATTAAAAAAAAATAAAGCCTCAGTCTGGCCTAACCCCAGCTGTTGCAGCTATTTTTGGGGAGTGAACAAGGGGATGGAAGATATCTGTCTCTCTGTCTCTCTCTCTCTCTCTGTCTCTGTCTCTCTCTGTCTCTCTCTTTCTCTGTCATTCTGCCTCACAAATAAAACAAAATAAATCCTTTTTTTTTAAAAAAAAAAAAAAAAGAAAGACTAGTGAGTTTAAAAACAGGCATGTGTCTTTCTCCACAAAGTCCAAAAAATTGATAAATACAAAACTGGCTCTACAACTCAATGAGTATTCGCAACTCAGGACCCTTTCTGCATGGCCATGAGACTGCTGTCCTCACGAAGACATCACATCTAAGATCAAAGAAGGAAGAAAGAAAGGAGTAGGAAGAGGAAGGGAGCCGCCAGCATCGAGCCATCTGGAACCAAAAGCTGCCTAGAGATTTCCAGCTGATATCCTCACCGGCCAGAATTCACGGCACCACCTGCAAAGGAGGTAAAGAAAGGAAATACTCAGGTTAGCACATTGTGTTCCGTCTAATATCAGGATTCTGTGAACAAGAAAGTTGGAGGGAAATTAAACTGATTAATTATAGGGTCTGTCACAACCCTGAAACTTATAAACAATTGCAGAAAAAGGAACACCCATGATGTGTCTGAGAGGAAGCACCTATAACCCTGGCAGAATTGGATCTTGCGAAGCTGTTCTAAGGACAACCATGTTCCATCACAGAGCTCCTGGGATTGGACAAAGCCTCCAAAGGGTGAGTCTCTGGCACATGGCAAGTGGCAGTAAATATTAGCTGTGTGCTAGTGGTGCAGTGAAAGATATTAATTATTATTACAATGGCATGAGATAAATTAAGGATTACCCATTCATCCAACGAACATTTATTGAGCTTCTTCTTTATATGAGAAGTTTTTCTGTCCAAATCCTGGGAAGCAGAATTTACTGGGTGATTCATATTGTCAGGGAAAAACACAAACATTTACTTTGGACTTGATATTCAGAGAAAAGGATGACTACTTTTGGAAGACATACCTAAAGATTCAGAATACCATTTATTCTTTTCACCAGCAAAATTATAGATATGGGAAGCACTATGGCCACAATAAAAGATTGTAGTAAAAATCTTATGATATTAAAGTGACCACTGAACCATCTTAGGTGCACAATTCAGCAATAAAAAGTTATACGTAACAATTTCAATTAAAGATTGAAATCAAATAAAAAATTCTACGTATGATTAGAACAAGGGAATGGAGACATAAAATAGAATCAAAACAAGAGAAAGCATTACTGTGAAAAACCTGTCAGTTCATCAATGAAAGTTGAACCCCACAGCATAAAAACTGGACAAAGACAAGAATACTCCAATCATACATAATACAAATGGCCAATAAGCATATTAAAACATGAACTTTGGGCCGGTGCTGTGGCGTAGTGGGCAAAGCTGCCATCTGCAGTGCCGGCATCCCAGATGGGTTCTGGATCAAGTCCCAGCTGCTCTACTTCCAACCCAGCTCTCTGCTATGGCCTGGGAAAGCAGCAGAAGTCCTTGGGCCCCTGCCCCTCTGTAGGAGACCAAGAAGAAGCTCCTGGCTCCTGGCTTCAGATCGGCGCAGCTCCAGCCATTGTGGCCATCTGGGGAGTGAACCAGTGGATGGAAGACCTCTCTCTCTCTCTGCCTCTCCTTCTCTCTCTGTGTAACTCTGACTTTCAAATAAATAAATAATCTTTAAAAATCATTAACTTTGCCAATAATTAAATATTGCATATTTGCTCACACAGTTATCCAAATGAATTTAAAATTACAAAGCAGTGTTTTTGAAGAAACAAGAAAATGAATACAATGAAAGTTGGTATAAGTTGACAATTTTTAAATCATTTAGCAATATGTATAAGTATTCTTAAAGATATGATTTGATTTAGTAATTCAGAAATTTTTTCTAAGAATTTAATTATAAATGCTTTCAAAATATTGTGTAAATATTTATTCAATATATTTTTGATACAGCGTTGTTTTTATTTTATTAAGTTTATTTGTGAGACGAAGAGACATAAATACATACAAACAGAGCTCCCATGCACCGGTTCCCACCCCAAATGCTCACAACAGCCAGGGCTAGGTCAGGGTCAAGGTTAGGAGCCAGGAATCAATCCAGGTCTCCCACGGGGTTGGCAAAAGCACAAGTACTTGAGCCACTGCTGATGCTGCCAGGGTCCGCATTAGCAAGAAGCTGGAGTCAGTAACCAGAGGAGGGAATTAAATTCATGTGCTCGTCTGTGAGATGCAGGCGACCTAACCACCAGAATGAATGCCCACTCCCAGCAGAATATTCAACAGACATAAATACACAACATAAATACACTGCAATCTGGAAAGTACAGCCCATTCATATGCAGGTTTAAGGATCATATTTTAAAAATATATTGTGGGGCCAGCGCTGTGGCACAGCCGGTAAAGCCGCCACCTGCAGTGCCTCCCATATGGGCGCCAGTTCTAGTCCCAGCTGCTCCACTTCCGGTCCAGCTCTCTGCTATGGCCTGGGAAAGCAGTGGAAGATGGCCCAAGTCCTTGGGCCCCTGCACCCGTGTGGAAGACTGGAGGAAGCTCCTGGCTTCTGGCTTCGAATTGGCGCAGCTCCAGCCGTTGCAGCCCATTGGGGAGTGAACCAGTGGATGGAAGACCTCTCTGTCTCTGTCTCCCTGTCTCTCTCTCTCTCTCTGTCTCTCATTCTCTCTGTAACTCTTTCAAATAAATTAAAAAAAAATCTTTAAAAAATACATTGCAAAATAGGGCAAAGTATACTTACCTTAGTGTTTACTTGGGGGAAAGATACAAATCTTATTACAGTGTGATCCTAAGATTTGTTCTTATCTACCACTGATTTCCTCCTTGGACATATGAGACATTCAATAATTTTTTTAAAAATTTTTAGAAGATTTATTAACTTATATGAGAAGCAGAGTTAGACACAGAAAGGGAGAGACATAGAGAGGTTTTCCAGCCTCTGGTTCACTCCCCAAATGGCCACAATGGCTGGAGATGGACCAATCTGAAGCCAGGAGCCAGGAACTTCTTCTGGGTCTCCCATGTGGGTGCAAGGGCATGAATACTTGGGCCATCTTCCACTGTTTCTCCAGGCCATTAGCAGGGAACTGAATCAGAGGAGGAGCAGGCGGGGCTCGAATGAGCACCCATATGGAATGGCGGCACTACAGGCGGAGGCTTAACCTAATACGCCACACTAATTTTTATTGAAGTAAAAAATGCATATGTGCACAAAAAGAGACTAGGAGTTCATAAAGACTATCAACAGTAGTTTATATGAGGTGGCAGGATTGTTTTATTTTCTTCTTCCTAATTTCTTTTCAAGTAGAAAACTTGAAAACTTTTATGAGTAAAGTCAAGGCATTTTATTGACTTGGGTTATAATAGATACTTCCAGAACATTCTAAAGGGAGCAAGAGAAAAGGACTTTTTGTTACATTATTTTTCAAGAAATTTAAATAACAATTTCAATGAAACAGCACTTGTAAGACTGTAGTGTGTGGCAATTGGTCCAAGTAAGTTCCAATGTATTGCAGAATGCAAGTATGAATAGATATTTTCTTTGCATCAGTAACAATACATTTATAAAACACCCTGGTATAGACATCTTTTATGGTGACTGAAGATTGATTGATGAAACTACTTGGAGAGATGCTTCCAGAACAGTTTGGTGTGGGAGGACCCTGAAAATAGTGTTTGATGTTGGCTAGGATCCAGTTTTATGGGTTGCTCGATTTGGAGGTACTTTGCTAGCTAAGTGGTTTGGTGACACATCACTCCTGGACGATGACCTGAACCCCTCTGCCTCTGTACCCCATCTGCAGACTGAAATCGGCAGGTCTGCAGTTCTGCTTGGTCAGCACAGTCTTGCCTGTCACCCTTCACTGCATCCCGCTGAAGAACAGTTCCACCTTATCTGGGAACAGCTCTCTCGACGAGCGCTGCCCCGTGCAATCATCTTTCACCACTGCGGCCACTCTTGCCATAGCACAAGCAGAGACATTTATCTTGCCGCTAATGGATAATTAGTTTTAAAAATGTATATTATGACACAATTAAAAAAAAAAAAAGAAAAAGACAAGCTGGACAATGGGACTAAATGTCCCTTCTTCAAATTGACTTCTATTTAGCTCTTCCAATGTCATCCCAAACACAGATAACTTTTCTTTCATGAATTGTTCTCCTGAATGATTTATACGTGTCGTGTTATCTGTGGCTCTCTCTGCATCCCCTGGTGGATTTAGCCAGCCATCAGCTGCATAATTGTTAATTTTAACAGTATAAAAGGTTCTGATGCAAAAGAGATATGGTGTTGGTAGAAGAATTAATTGAAATGTATCTCCTAATCACACCAGTCTCCTACTGCTGGTTTCCCACACACAAAAATTATACTTTAGGTTTAAGGTTAAAATAAATTTACATCCTTGCTACTCAAGAAGCTTTGGGTCTAGTGGTGAATGGAAATGCTACTTGTTTATAATACTTACAGAGGCTTTTCATGCGGAACAATTACAGGGATGGTACAAGCCATGGTCCAGGGCACATTTTCATAGGTAGAGGAGTCCCATAGCTGACAAGAGATAGGAGGGAAAGGAAATGAGGGAGAGAGAAGAAACCAAAAAGACTGAGAAGAAATAAAACATGGTGGGTCATTTATTACTAAGTCTGCAACCCTCCTTCTACATCTTTCAACACACATCATATTTCCCAGCATTAAACATTAATATGGACCATATTTTCACTCCAATATTTCTTTTCTAAGAATGTTAAGTGTATGAGGCTATTCAAAAAGTTCACGGAAAATGACATTAAAAGATAAGCTTATTTTGGTACCAAAATATTGGAAATCCATGCATAGCTTTGCCATAATATTCATTTTACATGAACTTTCCGAAGACTCTTCAAACAGGAGACAGAGCCTGAAACATCCTTGCAACAATTATATTTGGATGGTTGAAGTCATAGAGGACAAAAGCAAGTTAAATCCAAGTCTATTTTCCAATCTACAAATGAGGAGACTTCAAGCATCGTCTGATCGTTTCTGGATATGCCTATCAGTCAATCAGGCACAAATATAGTTTATAAGCACTTATCACGAGCCTGACCTCTGCCAGGCTTGGCCTGTGCAGTTCACAGCTGAGGATCAAAGAATATTTTAGGCCAGACCCATCTCATTTATTCACTCCCTCATTTCTTTAATAAACATTTCATGAGCACCTAGAAGTGTCTGTCACTGGGTCACAGAAAAGGGGCCCTTGCCCATTTGCAGTAGTTCACCAAGTAACAGAGGAGAGGTCATGAGGGAAATTATCCAAGGGGCTAGAAGCCCCAAGGAGGGAGGCCAGACACCCACCACTTGAACTCTCCCTTCTCATTGCTTGCAAATGAAAACACCCAGGACTGGTAAAAATCCAGCCAATTCACACGCGTATTTTCCTACACACCCAAACCTTCACCGGTGCCCATTTCTGTGCACAGGCAGCTCTCAGCTGGTGTGTGAGCTCGGTCTGATAGATACAGACAAGTCCTCAACAGGGCAGGAGGAGCTGTCAAAGCCCCTTACCTGTTGCTGGATTTAACCAGTTCATCTAGTCTGTATTTCTTAAACAGGAAAGCCAGAGGCTGCTAACTGGTAAAGGCTATTATCATGTGAATGACATTTATTGCTTAATAAAAAACTAAACATTTAGCTCTCATATTGCATATTGAGTCTTCAGCAAACAAAAAGAGCATGCTCAACTTTTTTTTTTTTTTTTTTTTTTTTTTTTTTGCCACACAGCAGATTCAAGGATTATGTGCCTATAATTTTAGGACACAAAGGCTCAGCTTCTTAAAACCGAAATAAACGTCAACTGATCTGTGAATATTCTTATATATTACGTATTGCATTAAGACATAAGCATATCATCCAAGTCTTTCCACAGTAAAGCTCAAAGATGGGTCTATCTAGGGTCAGGATTGGGGGAAGTTTACTCATTACCATTGGTCAAATACAATTCCTTGTTCATGGCAATCTGTGTATTCAATTGCATTTTCTTTTTAAAGCTCAATGTAGGTGGGTAGATCTATAGACAGAATTACAATGCAGCAATTGAGAACCAATGATTTTCTAAGCCAGGGATATTGGGTATTTAATTTTGCTTCTTAAATCCATACTTGGTGGGCTCTTAACGAACACAATAGAGAAGGAGTTATGTCCTAATCAGTTTATAAGATAGTATGAAGGAAATGCATGATAGACCAACCCGATGTGTAAATACAATAACACAAAGAAACCTAATCTACTGCAAAGCTTTAATTTAATCCTTCTATAACACAAGAGTATTGGAAACTGGCTTATGAATAGCTCAAGAATGCATAACTGAACTGTATAGCCTTGGTTAAGTTTAAAATGTTCAAATCTAACTTGTAATTTATATAAATTATTATGTAGCTTTTACATAAAGAAGAAACCATGGATTATACCTAAAGAAGAGAAGATTTCTAAATAATAACCTACATTCTTTAAAACAGTGCAAAATGAAGCTTTTTATTTTTCATTTTTTTCATTTTCAACCAGTTTTTTTTTTTGTTTTTTTTTTTTTTTGACAGGAAGAGTGGACAGTGAGAGAGAGAGACAGAGAGAAAGGTCTTCCTTTGCTGCTGGTTCACCCTCCAATGGCCGCCGTGGCTGGCGCGCTGCGGCTGGTGCACTGCGCTGATCCGATGGCAGGAGCCAGGTGCTTCTCCTGGTCTCCCATGGGGGTGCAAGGCCCAAGCACTTGGGCCATCCTCCACTGCACTCCCGGACCACAGCAGAGAGCTGGCCTGGAAGAGGGGCAACCAGGACAGAATCCGGCATCCCGACCGGGACTAGAACCCGGTATGCCAGTGCAGCAAGGCGGAGGATTAGCCTAGTGAGCCATGGCGCTGGCCATTTTCAACTAGTTTTTAACAGGTTCAATACAGTTCATGGACACAATTCCAAGACTGTAAGATAACATTAGCAAGTATGAAAATGATTCGCCTGTACTCTAGGGTACATGCGTGCGCGTGTGTGTGTCTAACAAAAGGCAGAGATGCATGAGTATAACGTGAAACAGTGAAAAGGCACTTGTAGTATTTTGTTTTATTTCACTTTAACTTTTTAACTTTTAAGTTTCTGTAAATTATTTGGTCTGAATGGTAATTATAAAAGCTGGTCAAGTCTACATTTATAAATATCTGTGAAACTAAATGCCCTTGTAACCAATGAAAATGCTAGTGGACATTCTTTAAAGTAGAATAGTGAAAAGGTGTGCTAACACAGTGACCTTTAAAATAGAACAAGATAGAGGAATGCCTGCTCTGATTTTAGCAAAAATCGCCTTTTATTCAAACCTAACATTTGCAATTTCTCAACTTTGTCAAGGGGTGTTTAAGTCACTCCTCCTAAAACTCAGCAACACAGTGCTTGGGCCCGCTGTCCCCCACGTTCCTGGTCTCCAATGGATTTCTTGTCCTTCACTGGATTTCTCGTTATTCCCATGTAGTCTCTCTTGGGCCTTCTCTGTTTTGCTTCTCAGCCCTCCCTTATTCACGTCCTCCCCTTGGCCCTCTCCCACAGGATGAATGCATTTGTCACAAACAGCATTTCGTCAGTTTTCAATAGCACTGCCCTTGCTTGGATGCAGGTTAAATCCCTTTGCCCAAACAGACCAGAAACGTGTGGAGAACAGGTAGAGAAGAGAACTCCAGAGAGAGATGCTTCTCAATCGCACTTCCCTCTCCCTGCTTTATTCCCTGTACACAGCAAAGTTCAGACATGCTTGACATGTGCTTTCCTCGCAGCAAATACACAGGATACACACTAGTGTCGCTTGTTCGATTCAGTTTGACCTAATGAAGGCCAACTGTGCGGAAGTCCAACATCCCAGCTGTTGTGTTGTGTTCATTACTTTGCTGGATAATGTCACTGCTTATCATAGAAGGGAAAGTCTGTGGCCTGAAAACTTCTCAGATGAAATAAAATAAATACTAACTGCATTAGAGATAGATCCTGGCTATGAAAGTGAGGGTACACATACATAATAGGCACTGGAATAAAAACAGTCATGCTTGCTTGACAGTGGTGAAGAGTTGGCAAGAGAGGATTTTTTTAAAAAAGAATTATTTATTTGAAAGGCAGAGTTTCAGAGAGAGAGAGGGAGAGAGAGATAGAGAGATCCTCCATCCACTGGTTCACTCCCCAAATGGCCAAAATGTCCAGGACTGGGCCTGGTTGAATGGCAGGAGCCAGGAGCTTCTTCCTGGTCTCCCACGTGGGTGCAGGGGCCCAAGGACTTGGGCCATCTTCCACTGCTTTCCCAGTTGCATTAGCAGGGAGTTGGATTGTGGTGGAATGAGAAGGCCATACCAAGATGGCTGCTGGCAAAGGAAACTGCCTGGCAACAGGCTGTGATTGAATGGCTTCAGAATCTGCCTGGCAACAGGCTGTGATTGGTTAGGGCATAGACCACACCTTGACCGGATTGACTGCCTTGGCTATTTAAGCTGCTGTACTAACCGAAATAAATGAGTCTGCAGGCTGCTCACCTCTGGCCTGCTTTCACCCGGCTCCCGGGGTCTGTGTGGTGACTCCGCACCTCTTGCCCTCACCACACTCCCCATCTCAGAACGAATCCACTGCAACATTGGATCAGAAATGGAGCAGCTAGGACTTGAACTGGCACCCATATGGGATGCCAGCATTGCAGGTAGTGCTTTAACACATTTCATCACAATGCTGGCCCCAGATTTTGGGCTCTGCAGATGATAGGCATGTTCTATAACCATATACAAATGACTCCTAAAGAACTTCATTTCTTCATATCAAACCCAAATACATTATTAGTTCAGTGGGAGTTCCATTTGATATATTTATACGTGTGGTGTTTAAGAGACCTTTGCTTTGCATTCTCATTTGCTGAAAATCTAAAGAGAGAATTCAGTGTCATAAAATTAGGAAAACATAAAAGTCAGAGCTAATATAGCAAAATGTAATATATAACAAGATTAAACTGTATATAATTTTTAAAAGATTTATTTATTTGAGAGGCAGGGTAACAGACAGAGAGTGGGAGAGATGGAAAGAAAGGTCTTCCATTCACTGGTTCACTACCCAAATGGCCACAACAGCCAGAGCTGAACTGATCTGAAGCCAGGAACTAGGGGCAAGAAGCTAGGAGCTTCTTCTAGGTATCCCACATGGGTGTAGAGGCCCAAGCACTTCAGCCATCTTCCACTGCCTTCCCAGGCCATTAGCAGAGAGCAGGATTGGAAGAGGAGCAGCTGGAACTCAAACCGGTGCCCATACGGGATGCTGGTGTTACAGGCAGAGGCTTGACCTACTATGCCACAGCGTCAGCTTATGATTTTTTTAAAAACAGACCTACATGGAAATTGAGAAAAAGGTTATAAACTTGAAAATGTATCTAATCCACCATACCAGAACTTGTTTGTAGAAAGCAAAAAAAAAAAAAAAAAATCTTACAAGTAGCTATTGTTGGGTTTCAAAATTAATAGAGCATGGTTCATGCCCACTCAAGGGTGCAAAAAGCAAACAAAAATTAA